GGGGTCCGACGCAGGGCTCGGCTGCCGGCCAGGGCAGCGAAAGGCGGCCCAGACGCTCAGGCAGCGGCCGCAGCAGCCCGCCCTATGCGGCCTGGCAAGTGCGGGGTGCGCCAGAGCCGGGGCACCTCTGCTTTCACGCGATAGGGGGGGTCCCTCCTCCACTGACCCCCCCCCCAGATGCACTGGGGCGAAAACGCGGAGGGAGCCGGAAGAGAACGGGCCTGAGAGGGCTTGGTGCTGGCCCCGCCTACCCGCCGGCCAGCACGGGGTGCTCTCCCCAGGCCTCTGGCCGCCAGGCCCGGCCACGGACCCCGCTCAGCCCCCCCGACCCTGGACGGGTGCCCCGCCCGGCCCGCCTTGTGCTCTGCCGGACCTGCGTCCCCAGGACCCCAGCGCTCCCCCTGCCGCCCCAAAGCCTCTGCCAGCTCCCCCAGCCAGCAGCCTCGCTGAGATCTATCTGGGTGCTGGACACGGCAGGCGACTGTGCGGCCTTCCGGGGGTTCTCGTGGGGAGCAGCAGGGCCGTGCCCAGGCCCAGGCGGGAGCTCGGCCTGCTGGGCAGACGGGCGGCGGGTCCCCATGGGGCAGGGTCCCCCGAGGTCAAGAGCAGGACCGCTGGTGCGTGCCTGGGGCGTGGACGCGCCTGTGTGTGTTGGGGCGGGGGACCCCGCCGGCTGCAGCCCCCCATCGGTTTGCAGGAGAGCGGGCACAGCTGCTGAGCCTGCACCGCCAGCCAACCCCAGCCCCAGACTCCGCTCGGGAAGCTGCTAATTAAGTTTCCCAGACAGGCAGGCACGAGGGGAAGAAGCATTTAGGGGGCCCACACCCCCGCGGGAGACAGCGGTGGGGGCAGAAATCTGGGCCAGACGGTGCCGGGCAAAGCCCACTGAGGCTGGCGGCCGCCCCGCTCAGGGTGGCCAAGCGTGGTCAGCACTTCCAGGCTCCCCCCGCACACACACCGGGGCTCAGTGCTGAGCACAGGCGGAGCCGGGCGCCCCCACTGCGGGGCGGGAGTTGGGGCGCCAGCAAAGACCGTCCTCAGCCGGCTGGGCCCGCCTGCGAGCCCCCTCCCCGAACACTGCTCCCCGAAGCCCTCCCGGGCCCTCCAGCCGGATCTGTCGGCCGCTGGCCACAGGAGCGGACGGGCCTCCT